TTCCTCTGAACATAGATTTTGGAAATTTTTTGACCTTTATACCCAGTGGGGGCGGGGCTGGGAAGTTCACATGTCAAGTGCTCTCCCTCCATCCCCTAGACCAGACATAGGTTTCACTTTTTTAAAAAACTAAGAAAACAGAGATAGCATGTTGTGCATTTATAAGAAAGAGGAAACTACCAACCACAATAACCTCTGCAGACATCCTGCTGATCTGGCAAGAGGAGAAGCTTAATTAGGGCAAGTTTCTTTTGAGTGGGGGTGTCTGGTCTGCTTCAAAAATATCCATAGTGCATTTTACAGTCAATACGATTCCCATCAAAATACCAGTGATATATTTCAACTCTAAAAATTCATGTGGAAGAATAAGAGACTCAGAATGGCCAAAGCAAACCTGAGCAAGAAGAGCAATGCGGGAGGCATCACAGTATCTGATCTCAAATTATACTACAGAGCTACAGTAATAAAAAAGCACGGTATTGGCACCAAAACAATGGAATAGAAGACACAAACTCACACAGATTCAGTCACACTTGACAAAGATGCCAAAAGCATTCATTGGAGAGAGAGAGCCTTTTTAACAAATGGTGCTGGAAAAACTGAATATCCATATGTAGAAAATGCACAAAAGTCAACTTAAAGTGGATCAAAGACCTGGGAATTAGACCAGAATCTTGCAACTGTTAGAAAAACGTAGGCTCAACACTCCAACATATTGGTGAAAGTACTGACTTCCTTAACATGACTCCTAAAGTGCAAGAAATGAAACCAAGAATCAATAACTGGGAGCATCACATTAAAAATTTTCTGCACAGCAAAGGAAACAAGAGAATGAAGAATGGAATATCTCTGCCAGATGCTCCTCAACTGGGGATTATCATCCAGAATATATAAAAACTCAAAAAACTAAAACATCATAAAGAAAACTAAAAACTAAAACTAAACATAAAAAAGGATAACCCAAATTAATAGGTGGACAAAAGAACAAATATTTCTCAAAAGAAGAAATACAAATAGCCAACAAATACATGAAAAAGTATTCAACATCCCTAGCAAACAGGGAAATGCTAATCAAAATTATATTCATCTCATGCCAGTCAGAATGACAATCATCAAGAACACAAAAGATTATAAAAGTTGGTGAGAATATGAGGGGAAAGGTACACTCATACATTGTTGGGACTGCAAATTAGTAAAACCATTTTGGAAAGGAGTATGACTCAAAGACTAGAATAGATCCATTCCATATGATCCAGCTATCCCATTCCTGGGTATTTATGCAAAACAATTAAAATCAGCCTACTATAATTATATAGCCACATCAAGGATTATAGAAGCGCAATTAATGACAGCCACATAAAAATGAATAAATTTTAGTTGTGTCCAACTACAACTAAAAAAAAATTTAAAAAGAACAAATGAATGGATAAAGAAACTGTATAAAAATACAATAAAGTTTTGATCAGCCACAAAACGAATGAAATTATGGTATTTGCTCGTAAATGGACGGATCCAGAGAATACCATGCTAAGTGAAACAAACCAGACATAAAAAGTCAAGGGTTAAATGTTTGCTCTTATGTATAGAAGCCAGAACAAAATAAAGGGGAAGAGGGGATGAGGGGAGAATCCCATGAAAATAGAAGGGAGATTAGTGGAACAGAGAAAAGGGATTGAGGGAAGAAGGATAAGGAAAGAGAGGAACAGTGGAATGAAAGTGACCAAACTGTGCTATATATATATGTATCATACCAAATTTCACCTTTATGTATATCTACAAAGCACAAATTTTAAAAAAAACTATAAATAAATATAAGGAAAATCAATAGTGTAGAGGAAGTGGAAAAGGGGTAGGGAATACATGAGGGAAAGGGGAAGTACTAAGGATTGAATTGGAGCAAATTATGTTCCATACATGTATGAATAAGTCAAAATGAACCTCAATATTATTTATAATCATAATGTACTAATAAAAAGAAAAACATAAATATCAACAGTACTTTTGAAGATAAATGAATAAAAAATTATAATAGCAACACAAAAAATAAAATATTTAGGAATCACCTTAACAAGGAATGTTCAAAATCTATATAAAGAAAACTACAAGGAATTCCTAAAAGACACAAATGTAAATTCAAACAAATGTAAAACATTTCCTCCTTTTGGTTAGAATGTATCACTATCATCAAGATGTCAGCTCTCCCTGTGTTAATTTATAAATATAATGTGATCCTAATAAAAATTCCAATGGACTTTTTAAAAAAATGGTGTAAGACAAATTGACCCAAAAGTTCATATGGAAAAATAAACTCTCAAGAAAATACAGGTAAACACTTACAAGGAAGACCCTATTTCTGTCCTGAGACTGGTTCTCAGCTAATCGTAAATATTTAAGAATTTGGTAATCTGCAGATTAAACCATTGATAGCTTGAAACTGGTCATATCGGAAGCATTTGTATTACAAAAATTGGCGAGTTCTATAGATCTTCCTCTCTTAGAAATCCAGTTTTCCAGGCATATCATTGGACTATTTCTACATAAAAATACCAGAAAGTCTCTAAAATAAAACAGACAATAAGTACACAAACAGGCAGATTAATGGAATATAAAGAGAAAGTCCTGAAAGAAATGTGAATGACTGGGACAAAGAGGTTTTTTTTTTTTTTTTAACTAAACGATCTTGGGACAACTAGATACTCATTTGGAAAAATAAAAGATCTATTCCTCAAACCACTCATAATCTAAATTCCAAATGCATCAGAAATACAGAGAAGTAAAACTATGTAAGTACTAAAAGAAAACACTGGTGAAAATCTCTATTATCTAGATATAGAGAAAGATTTTCTATGTCTAGAAATCCAGATGCAGAAAAGGAAAAGATTTGAAATTTTCACTTCGTAAAATTTTAAAAGTGGGAGTAAATGGTATAAGTAAAATTAATGACAAATGACAAAAATGAGCATAAATTCTTATAGTACATATCACAGATAAAAGATTAATCTTCCAAAATATATAAAAATTAAATTAACAGACCAAAAACCCATTAAAAATAGGCAAAAGAAATGAATAAATAATACAGAAGATATAAAAATGGTCTATTAAAAGATAACTTCACTTGTAATATAGAAATGCAAATAAAAACTACACTAAAATATCATTTTCCACCTACCATATTGGTACAAATTCACTCTGCTGAGAAGGCTGTAGGAAAACGAGCATTTACACACAGCTGGAGGGAGTGCACAATGATACCATTACGGAGAGAAATTTGGCAATATTTTAAAAAGCTACATATGCATTACTGCTTGATCCAGAAATCTCACTTCTTGGAATTTATTCTAAAAATACTTCTCCAATAATATGAAAATACCTATGCATAAGATTATTCACTGTAGTCTTGATTATAATTACAAATCATTGGAAACCACCTATATGTCCAAGTATAGGAGACTGGTTGAATAACTATAAAATATCCACAGAAAGGAATATTAAGCAGTCATAAAAAGGAATGAAGAGAATCTACATCAATTTAGACTGACTTCCAGGACACATTACTAAGGGAGAAGAGTGAAGTACAAACAAGTACATGCAGTGTGCTGGTTAAGAAAGGAAAAATATATGTCTCTATATCTTTATCATAAAAATAACAAAGGAAAGGGGTAGAAGCATGTGCCATGGGATGGATGTGTACAACAGAAAATGACACTTCTCTGATGATTACTTCTTGTGGAGTTTTGACTTTTAAGAGTATGCTAATCTACACATTCAAAATAGAATTAATTAAATCAAGGAAAAGCTAGAAGAGGAAAAATGAAAGCAAGTTGAAACAAATGAATTTAATGTTATTTCAATTGAATACCATAACCACAACAAAAAGGGGGAAACAAAAGAAGGACTAATTCAAGTAATCAGTAAACTTAGTATTTAATTATATACCCTCAATAATTGGGACAAGGTAATGTAAGAGAGCAGGAAGGAAGAACTGCAAATGGATCTCAAACTTTTTAGAAGTCAGTCTGTTACTGTAGTGAAACTGGCATAGAAAATTTGAAACTACTTTAGATGCATTCTGGGACTGGGCAAACAAATAAGGTACTGATGTTGAATAAGCACATTGATGTTGAGCCAGCATTCTCACATCATAGAATAAAGAATATACAAATACAGAATGAAATAAGGCAAGGAAGAAACCTGAGAGTGTGATCTGGAATTGAAGGAACTGGTCAGTTGTGTATATGCATGCATGTATGTGCAGTGAAAGAGAAGGAGCAGGTGTAAGAGTGAATGCATGAGAGAGCACACATGCATATGAAAAGCAAATGGAGCATAAACTTAACAAATTAATTAGCTATTAATAGTGATAATGGGTGAAGATATGCAGATATTTTTATACTATTTTTATTTTTTAACTTCATGCACACTTGAAACTATTCCAAATTAAAAGTTGTTTTATTACAAAATTTGTGACATGCAGAATATACCTAAAATATTTTCCTCTGAAACATTAGCTTATTTCTTTCCTAAAGAATATATATTTCTCAGTGCTATAATAATTAACATTTTTATAGTAAAAGGCACAATGAAAAATATTTGTTATAGAAATTTTTAAAAATCAGGGCTGAAGTTGAGGCTCAGTGGTAGAGTGCTTGCCTAGTATGTGTGAGGTACTGGGTTCGATTCTCAGAACCACATATAACTAAATAAATAAAGGTTTATCATCAACTAAAAAAAATTTTAAAAAATTTTTTAAAAAATCAATTTAAAATATAACTTATGCAAACATTAGATGAAATATTAGACATATTTCATGTTAATATAGCATTTATGTAAAACACTAAAAATTTTGAAAATCCTTTATTTTTATGGCAACATATCTTGGTAATCATGTTTACAGATCACTCGTAATGACAGACATAAATATTTGAGTTTCTTCACTCCCTCAAATATTCGCTGATAGTTTCCTCGTGGCCCCAAGAAAATGGATCCTTAAACTGACTTACTCTTCTAACGATCGATCTAGGCCTCGGTCAGGAGATAGATGGTGAACACGTTCTGGTGAATGACATTTTGTATTTGGTTTCATTGCACTCAAATGATAAGCATTACTTGAGTAATTTTGGCGGCGAAGTTCTTGTACAGCCCTTTCCCTAAAGCAAAATAGTGATGCTTTTAAATTTTATGTTCAGTGACATTAAAACTGTCATAAAACTGTGACTCAATATTTTAAAATATAACCTTCATGAAATGACTAAAACCTACTGTTACCTAAGAAAACAATGCTTTCCTAGCTAGATATTGTATAGAGATAAACTTACCTTTCAAAGCGTTCTGTCCCCAGCTGTCTTTTAGTAATATCTAAATCAGCTTCCAGTTGCGTTACAACATTTCGGAACTGGGCCACATCTCTACTCTGAATGGCCCTGTGTAAAAGAAAGTAAGAGTGAAACCCAGTTAAACTTAAAATATGGCTATGACTCCTAGAGTGTATTAAACCATGTGGGCAATGGTTTCTCAGCTGGATCCAAGTCACAGCATGATTTTTATGGACAATTTATTAGAACATATGAAATATGCCAATTTTAGACATATTAAATGTATAAACTAGCCTACTTGAAGAGCCTAAGTGATCCCAGTCCCATTCAATTAGTTAAAACTTTTTTGCTTCCCTATGCATATATGATGTAAAGTTATCTATATTTCCTATTTACTGCAAATAGTTTTTATAAAAGTACTTTCAAGTATTATATCAGCATAAGCAGTAGTATGAACAAATAATACTAGAATTCACTAGTATCATGATTAATATGGCTTTATACATATATATACACACACACACATATATATTCAATTTATATACATCAATTCAACCAAGTACTTTATACATACTTATAATGAAATAAAATTTGTTATGTAGAACTGTTACACAAAAACTCTTCAGTTTGACAGAATCCTTAAGGCTAAACAATGCCTCAAAAACTCTTTGATAAGGCACACTATCATATTAGTGATAATATGGCATATAATAGGCATATTATCTTTGTTTAGACAATATAGGTATTAATAGTCAGTGCAAAACACTCCAAGAAAGATAATGACAGATGAATTCTGCTTGCCCAGAACATTCTATTCTCTTTGCTTGCTTTCAAGACAGCTGCTGAAATACAAACTTTAGAGACTGAAAAAACAAATGATTATCACACTAGTTCTAAGTGATATAACTTACCAGTCATTCTAAAACAGTGTATCCCTTATGGTAGGAGTTTTCGTATACGTTACTGAGGCAGCTTGCCACCTACCAGCTTCAAAAAGGGCTCCTACAAACCCAGCTGAAGTTATCCCAACAGTCTAGCTACGGTAACTGAAAAGAATGATTCAGTCACAGCTGCCATGACCTAACAGCAGTTTCTGAAGGAAAATGGCCCTGACTCTGCATCTTTGCTTAGTCAGGAGCTCTCAGTAGTAGCTGATTGCCAAGACTATGATTCCTAACCTTCCTCAGATCCTAGGTTAAGAAGCAAGGACAAAGCTGTGGGGCTTGAGAGATAAAAGAATTCCTTATCCTCCAGAAAGATCCATGGTCAAAATAATGATTAGAGAGCCAGGAGAAGAACATGTTATGAAATAAAGACAAGTGCAAAGAGGCAATTTCTCAAATCATTGTGTTACAGGAAAGGGGTGATTTTTCAAAGGACAAGCCAAACAGAAAGTTAAGAAATGAATCTAGAAGGCAGAAACCACCAATGTTTTCCTGGAAAGTAAGATTAGTTAGAGAACAATCTTTAGGAATAGAAACAAAATTTCAGGATGCACAAGTCAGAAGCTGGGTCACTGCTGTCCTTAATGAGGTCAGATGTAAACTATGCCTACCTGCTTAAATATTATAAAGAAGGGTTTGGAGAAATCTGATATTCTGTCTGGTAAAAAGCGAGGCAGAATCTCAAGGAATCTCACTTATAGAACAGTTTAGGACAGCAATGTCAATAATTTAGTTTGAAATTGTTAACTGGTAACTATTAAATCTCTTTACACTACCCTTCCAACTTCCCACACTCCCCTCCCCAACTTTTTTTTTCTTTCATGGTTGCCACTGTCAACAATTCAAGGAGTTAACTTTTGCCTCCTAAGAATGAAGAAATTCTACAGACTCAACATAGCAAAGAGTTAGATTAAAAGGTACTGATGATGGGGGAAAAGATAATGTTATAGATGGGACATACAAAAATATGGGCTAAAACTCCCCATTGGTAGTAAGTGTTAACCAGGTTTAATGAAAGAAATGTTCTCTATCAAGGCAAGCATTTCCACTCCAATCTCCAGCTGGGAGTTCTAATAAAGTGTAAGCTGTACTAGGGATTCTAACAAAAACAAACAAAGAAAGTCAAAAGTCACGCTCTGGGGAAATGTTCGGTATTTTGTAAATTCAGGAATTCTTCCAGGTATCTAGTATACAGAAACACTAATGACAAATGGAAACACTAGATAGCAATATCAGATGATCCACACATACAAAAATTCTTCTGGGGAGCTGGGAACATAGCTCAGTGGTAGAGTGCCTGCCTAGCACGTGGGAGACACTGGGTTTGATCCATAAATATAAACAAAATAAGAAGATTGTGTCTATCTACAACTAAAAATATTTTTTAAAAAAATGTGGGGATGTGGCTCAAGCAGCAGCACGTTCACCTGGCATGCGAGCGGCCCAGGTTCGATCCTCAGCACCACATACAAACAAAGATGTTGTATCCGCCGAAAACTAGAAAATAAATATTAAAATTCTCTCTCTCTCTCTCTCTCTCTCTAAAAAAAAAAATTCTTCCAGTTTCAGAGTGCTTACTTTTTTCTACTCTGGTTACATTTCCTAAAGGCAATATTTTAGATCAGACATTCTATTTTACCTAAAGCTCTATTGGGAAAAAACCCCAGCAAAGATGGTTAAATTTAGATATCTTAGATAAGAACAAACATAATACAACTAAATATAAAATCTTAGACAAATCACAATATTTGTAATCCTCAGTTTAATTAATGAAAAAGTATGGGAGCTAAATTCCCTAAATTCAGGTTTTAAAATTCTACTGATCTATAAAGAACCAAAATTTTAAGAAATATAACTTTAAGTTATTATACTGCTAGCCAACTCACATTTTATTTTCTGCCAAACAAAGGTGTTCTTTAAGAAGCTGAATTTCAGACTCTTTTTCTTGAAGTGCTATCTGAGACTGATATTCTTTGTCTCGATTGGCCACCAGCAAAGCTTCTAGATTCTGCATGGAGATTCTTTCATTTGTCATCTGACTCCTGAGGAGTTCTATTTCAGAACGAGCAGAATCTAACTCATTCTCCATCTGTACAATAATAGGAAGATATCTACACTTATTTCCATTCATTCATTTAACTGGCATATAATCAAGGACTCTCAAGTTCTTTCAATATGTTATAAACTGACAATCACTTTCAATTTCTTAGTTTGAAACTGTGTCCTCTTTCTTAACAAATATATATACCACACATACTATATAGCATCACTTTCCCCATCTGTCTAATCAGATCAGAAAATTCATTAATTTAAGAAAATCTTATTAATCCCAAACTGCAACCACTTTTTATTTCCAGCTTTGATATTTCTGTATATATTACTGCCAGGCTGTCTGGGTGATACCTATGACTACTGCTCTGTCTTAAGAAAGGTGAGTTACAAATATCTAGCTACTCCACAGTTAAGGAATGCAAGGGGAAAACATAAATTCCTCTCTTGCTAAACCTGTGGAAGTTTCTGAAGGTTATCTTGAACCTAAAATATGCTCTATACATCAAATATTTCTTCAAAAGGTGGAAGACTTGTCATTACTATTTACAAAAAAATTAATCTTTATAATATATGTTATAATAAATTCTATAGGCATTTAAAAAGTTAAATGTGAAAGCGTAAGTTTAAAATCCAGTAAAGGGATATAAATAAAAACAAAATTGCTGGAGTAGAGACAGGTAGGTAGGTAGATAGGGGAAGAATTTTCTAAGCTAAATACAATGCAAAAATAAGTTTAACCACATAAAAAATAAACATTTTTCTAGTCAACATAAACTTAACCAAAAATTCAAAAGAAACTTTCAACTGGAAAAAAATAAACTTTGTAAATAAAATAGTTAATACCTTTATTAGTATAAAAACTCAGATGAATGAGAAATATGAAAATGATATGATTAAAACGTACAAAAGAAGCAATACAACTAAACAGCAAACATACAAAAATTTATGCTTGCTAGTGGTCAAAATGATATAAATTCAAACAAGATGCAACTCCCAGTCCAGGGTTTTTTACCTTGACACTCCTGACTTGTTGGGCTAGATAATTACTTGGTGTGGAGAGCTGCCCTTGCATTATAGAATTTTCAGCAAAATCCCTGACCTCTGTCCACTAGATACTACTAGCATTCCCCACTCTGGTCAAGGATCCAAAGCATATGTAGATATTGCTAAACGTATTTCAATTGAATCAAAGTCTATTAAAGACAATTTACAATAGCTATGGAGCCAACCTAGGTGCCTTTTGATAGATGAATGGATAAAGAAAATGTGGTTTATATACACAACGGAGTATTACTCAGCCATAAAGAAGAATGACTTTATGACATTTGCTGGTAAATGGATGGAACTAGGGACTATTGCGCTAAGTAAAATATGCCAATTCCCCCAAATTAAAAGGTGAATGTTTTCTCTGATATGTGGAAGCTAACAATAAGCAGGGTGGGGAATAGAAGTTCAGAGGAGTAGATAAAAAGGAAGGAAGGGGGTATAGAAAAAGGAAAGACAGTGGAATGAATCTGACATAACTTTCCCACGTATATATGTGAATACACCAGTGAATCTCACTATTGTGTACATCCACAATAAATTAATTTAAAAAAACTACAGGTAAATGGCAGAAAGATCAATAGAGGGAGGAGAGCAAAGAGTGGGGAAAAGAGGGGAAGGAGAGGTACTAGGGTTCTAATTACAATAAGATATATTCCATGCTTGTATGATTACGTCAAAATGGGTTCTACTGTCATGTACAACTAAAAAGAACCAATAAAATTTTAAAAGACACACTATTCTATCAAATTGGCAAATTTGTTAGTGTTGATGAACATTAAAAGAGGCAATGGTAAGCCCATATACTTGGATGACACTAGTACAAAATGGAGCATCACTTTTTTTGGCAACAGCTTTACTGGAACATAATTCACATTCCACACAACTTACTCATTTAATAAGTATACAATTCAATGATTTTAAACATATTAACAGACTCATGCAATCATCACTTTAATCTAAATTACAGCTTTTCAACTTCCCCCAAAGAGACTCAATATTAGTACCCTGTTTCAAAAAAAGAAAAAGGAAAAAAAAAAAGTCTGGGGATGTGGCTCAGTGGTTAAGCACTGCTGGTTTCAATCCCCAATACCAAAAAAAAGAAAAAAGCCATTAATGTTTTAGCAGATATCAGTACTCTGTTACTTTTATTGCCTCATCATATTCCATAACATTCCATTGCAGCACAGGTATGCATTCACAGTTAGGAATATTTGAATTACACTTTGGGTCTGTTATAAATAATGCTATCATGGAGAACCGTGTAAAAGTTTTTGTGTGTTCATATAATTTTTATTCTTCTTAAATATAAAAGGAGTAGAATTTCTGGGTTGTATATTAATCCTATTTTTAACATTTTTAGGAACTGACAAAATGTTTTCCACAATGGCCTCACTTACTTTCCACCATCAGTGTATGAAGATTCCACTTTTGCCATATCTTTGTCAATAATATTTTTTTAGCATCTGCCTTTTGAAACACAGTCATCCTAGTATATGTGAAATAGTGATTTGCATTTCTGATTGTTAATGATGCCAAGTATATTTTCATGTGCTTACTGTCCATTTATGCATCTTGTGTAGATAAATGTCTACTGATATCCTTAGCTTATTTTTTATTGGGTTATTAAGTCATAAGAATTCTGTATGTATTTTACATACAGATCTCTTATTAGATAAATGATTTGCAAATATCTCCCCCCATTCCATGCACTGGCTTTTTACTTTTTAATATTATTTACAGCACCAAAGTTTTTTAAAAATTTGAATGAACTTCATTTGATCAACTGTTTTCCTGTTTTTTAAATGTATTTTTAAAAATAAAATATTTTAATTTTTATTTGTATCCTATACATTTTGGCACACTGTGTTTTCATTCTCATTAATCTCTTTTTCCCCCTTTGTGATTTCTTCTTTTACCTACAGTATTTTGAAGTGTGTTGCTCAATTTCCATATACTTGTGATACTTTATGAGGTTCAATCCTCAGCACCATATAAAAATAAATAAATAAAATAAAGGTATTGTGTCCAGCTACAACTAAAAAATAAATATATACAAAAAAGAAAGAGAACTTCTCTTTAAAATAGCAATGTTATAGTAATAGCAATTTTTAAAGGCATCTTAAAAATATATTACATACCATTTCTATTTCTTGATCTTTAGCAACCAGCTGTCGATTAAGAAGTTCTTTGCTTGAGTCAAGTTTAATACAGAGTTCCCTTGTGGAAGACAAATCTGCAAGAGCAGACACTTTTTCAAACTGAACTTTCTGAAGCTCCTCCTCCATCTTCACAAGAGATTTATGCAAGGTTGCAATCTGGGATTTGTAAGACCTTTCTGCATTTAAGTGCTGCAAAGATAGGATAATTTTTTAAATAAATATGTGTGTATGTATATATATATATATATATATATTATTTTTTAACTGGAAAAACATGCAAAACAAAGTGGGGCCAATCTTTTAACACTAGTACACTAAAACTATAAGAAGTTTAGACAATATAGGTATTAATAGTCCGTGCAAAACACTCCAAGAAAGATAATTCATGTTTAAAATTTCTTTTTGTGTGTGTGTCAACATACCTTATATACAATCAGAGATATGATAAATTGTGGTATAAAGGTGTATTAAAAATTGTAATGCAAAAATAAATAAATTTTTTAAAAAACAAAGCAAAAGTAAAAAAAAAATTTCTTTAAATAGGGCTGGGGCTGTAGCTCACTAGAAGAGCACTTGCCTAGCCATGTGAGGCACTGGGTTTGATCCTCTGCACCACATAAATAAAATAAATGCACACTGTCTATCTGCAACTACAAAATTAATTAATTAATTAAAAAATAAAAGAAATCAGGAATTTAAAAAAATCCTCAAATAAAATCTGTAAGTAGGGTGTTCAACTGGTCATTTAAAAAAATATACTTAGGGGCTGGGGATGTGGCTCAAGTGGTAACGTGCTCGCCTGGCATGTGTGGGGCGCTGGATTCGATCCTCAGCACCACATAAAATAAAGATGTGCCTACCGAAAACTGAAAAATAAATATTAAAAAAA